ACTATCCCGCTGGATAATTGATGCTATAGCCTTAGGTTTGTAATGCCCCATAGGTGTGAGGGCCTACTCCACTAGAGGAATGGCCTCCTCCTGGGCTTGGTCCAGCGAAATCTCTATTGGTGAGATATGTGCGGCCGCCGGCTGGTCGTCGCCATCCATGTTTGCCAGATTTAACAGCCTAGATGTCCTTGCTCTCCAGGCATGGATTTTATCGGCTTAAACTGCTTATTTCTCCCTATGGTGGAAATAGCTATGTCCCAAGTCCTCAGCTACGTTCGGGACTCAGTCGGCTCATTTTCTCTAGGGGCCCTTAACATAAGTGCTCCAGAACTGGGCTCGCAGAGCAGCTTAGTCTGCTTCTGCTCATAGCACAGTGTGATTGGATTCGTTCCCCTTACACAACGTGAAGTGAACGTTCAAAAGGGAACGCTCCGGTTACTGGCGTAACCTCAGTTCCCTGGGATAAAGGAACGACCGTTGTGTCATTTGCTGTGCTATGAGCTGCAAACAAATCGATGACTGCTGCTTCGGTCGAATGATTCTGATGAAATGGCGCTGCGAGCCGACTTATATACACGTCGGCTCCGTCCTTTCTGGCGGGCTAAAGCGCCATTGGTTTGTGCAGCTACACAAACGTGAACAAATCAGGCTTCAGTAACAGAGTAAACAGGAGTTTACCCCATACACAGGGAACTGAGGTTACGTCAGTAACCGGAGCGTTTTTTTTCAACTACTTGCAAACTAAATTTTTGTCATACAATTTCTGAAACTTGACACTCAAACACCAGAACCGCACACCAAATCTGCAAAACCATACACTAATTTTCGGCCTTTGACTCAGTTTTCAATTTCATAAAACACTTTTTGCAAAACATAACACACAATTCTCTATGTAACACAAAAATCTAACCGGAATGAATATTATGTCAAAGGTGTTTTCAAATGTTTGCTTTTGAGATGTGTTTGTGATATTTTGAATGCAGTGCTTCATTTTGCAAGAGATGTGAGGTATTTTTAATTTTGTGTGTGCAATTCTTGGATTTGTGTGTAAAGTTTTGAAAAAAAAGAGGCAAAGTTTTGAAAATGTGTGTAAACAGTTGACAAAACTGTAATGATGAAGGTTTCCCATTTACAACATGAACATTAAAGCCAACTGTGTGCATGAATGCCGTAGTGCTGTTTAATTTAACTATCGTTTTGAGGACCTTTGTGAAGTTGAAGTTCTTAGATCTTTTTGAAAATGTAATCTACATAAAGAGTAGGCAATACAATTTTAATCTACAGCCTGTTAATCACAATTAATAATCATAATTATAATATCCTGCAGCCCTAAATTATATTGTACCACAACAGTTCATTGTATAAATAATAAATAGCTATAGCACTGCATGAACATTATTTAGTCAGTGACGTGTAGAGCATCTCAATCTATGCATGAACTTCAGCATGTACTGTAGTGCAATAAGCTAGTAAGATCTTTATCTCAAAGGGGTCCTATTATGCTCTTTTACAAAGTCTTGATTTTGTTTTGGGGGTGTACTAGAACAGGCTCTCAAACTAGGTTGTTCGAAAAACATTATTTTTTTATATATATTTTACATTATTACAATACCTCTCTGCCCAGTCTGGCATGAACGGCTAGAACAGTTCCTGTATCAAATGAAGGCCCGCCTTCTGAGATACGAAATGTGCTGTGATTGGTTAGCTGGGCCAGTGTGTGTTGTGATTGGCACCACTTGGAGCCTGGTCGGACCCCTTACCATAGCCGCCTGCGAGCTTCAGTGTAAATATTGCATCAGAATCAAATAAATTTGTGCGCGATTTAAACCCGGATGATTGTAACTACTTTAAGTTCGTCTGCCTTGGGAAAGCTAGCGTGTCTCCGACATAGTGATAACACTCGTTGCCTTCTCTAGTGCAGCTCAACCAGGTCTCATCCCATTCGTCGATATTTGTGATATCACAAATCCCGGAAAATATGCGTTGTAGTCCAAACGAGTTGTTTGTTGTAGTTTTTGAAAAGTGATTTCTGTTAAATAAAATATCTCCTTATGAAGTGGACTTTGAAACTGTCGCTGGAAACCGCTCTGTTACTGGCACGAGCAACGGGCAAGCGAGTGGGTGACTTACAAGAACTGTCAATCAGTGCTTCCTATCTGGAGTTTGGGCCTAGCGACTGTAAAGTTGTCCTCAAGCCTAGACATGAATATGTTCTGAAGGTGCTCTCAACTCCGTTCAGAGACCAGGTAATTAACCTTCTGGCGCTCCCCGCTGCAGATGGTGAGCAGGGTCCCAATGTTCTCTGCCCTGTCATGGCTCTGAGAATATATCTTGAATGCTCTAGCCTGTTCAGACAGTTGGAGCAGCTTTCGTTTGATTTGGAGGCCGCTCTAAGGGGCTGCCGGTTACAAAGCAAAGACTATCCCGCTGGATAATTGATGCTATAGCCTTAGGTTTGTAATGCCCCATAGGTGTGAGGGCCTACTCCACTAGAGGAATGGCCTCCTCCTGGGCTTGGTCCAGCGAAATCTCTATTGGTGAGATATGTGCGGCCGCCGGCTGGTCGTCGCCATCCATGTTTGCCAGATTTAACAGCCTAGATGTCCTTGCTCTCCAGGCATGGATTTTATCGGCTTAAACTGCTTATTTCTCCCTATGGTGGAAATAGCTATGTCCCAAGTCCTCAGCTACGTTCGGGACTCAGTCGGCTCATTTTCTCTAGGGGCCCTTAACATAAGTGCTCCAGAACTGGGCTCGCAGAGCAGCTTAGTCTGCTTCTGCTCATAGCACAGTGTGATTGGATTCGTTCCCCTTACACAACGTGAAGTGAACGTTCAAAAGGGAACGCTCCGGTTACTGGCGTAACCTCAGTTCCCTGGGATAAAGGAACGACCGTTGTGTCATTTGCTGTGCTATGAGCTGCAAACAAATCGATGACTGCTGCTTCGGTCGAATGATTCTGATGAAATGGCGCTGCGAGCCGACTTATATACACGTCGGCTCCGTCCTTTCTGGCGGGCTAAAGCGCCATTGGTTTGTGCAGCTACACAAACGTGAACAAATCAGGCTTCAGTAACAGAGTAAACAGGAGTTTACCCCATACACAGGGAACTGAGGTTACGTCAGTAACCGGAGCGTTTTTTTTCAACTACTTGCAAACTAAATTTTTGTCATACAATTTCTGAAACTTGACACTCAAACACCAGAACCGCACACCAAATCTGCAAAACCATACACTAATTTTCGGCCTTTGACTCAGTTTTCAATTTCATAAAACACTTTTTGCAAAACATAACACACAATTCTCTATGTAACACAAAAATCTAACCGGAATGAATATTATGTCAAAGGTGTTTTCAAATGTTTGCTTTTGAGATGTGTTTGTGATATTTTGAATGCAGTGCTTCATTTTGCAAGAGATGTGAGGCATTTTTAATTTTGTGTGTGCAATTCTTGGATTTGTGTGTAAAGTTTTGAAAAAAAAGAGGCAAAGTTTTGAAAATGTGTGTAAACAGTTGACAAAACTGTAATGATGAAGGTTTCCCATTTACAACATGAACATTAAAGCCAACTGTGTGCATGAATGCCGTAGTGCTGTTTAATTTAACTATCGTTTTGAGGACCTTTGTGAAGTTGAAGTTCTTAGATCTTTTTGAAAATGTAATCTACATAAAGAGTAGGCAATACAATTTTAATCTACAGCCTGTTAATCACAATTAATAATCATAATTATAATATCCTGCAGCCCTAAATTATATTGTACCACAACAGTTCATTGTATAAATAATAAATAGCTATAGCACTGCATGAACATTATTTAGTCAGTGACGTGTAGAGCATCTCAATCTATGCATGAACTTCAGCATGTACTGTAGTGCAATAAGCTAGTAAGATCTTTATCTCAAAGGGGTCCTATTATGCTCTCTTTTTCACATATTTTACATTATTACAATACCTCTCTGCCCAGTCTGGCATGAACGGCTAGAACAGTTCCTGTATCAAATGAAGGCCCGCCTTCTGAGATACGAAATGTGCTGTGATTGGTTAGCTGGGCCAGTGTGTGTTGTGATTGGCACCACTTGGAGCCTGGTCGGACCCCTTACCATAGCCGCCTGCGAGCTTCAGTGTAAATATTGCATCAGAATCAAATAAATTTGTGCGCGATTTAAACCCGGATGATTGTAACTACTTTAAGTTCGTCTGCCTTGGGAAAGCTAGCGTGTCTCCGACATAGTGATAACACTCGTTGCCTTCTCTAGTGCAGCTCAACCAGGTCTCATCCCATTCGTCGATATTTGTGATATCACAAATCCCGGAAAATATGCGTTGTAGTCCAAACGAGTTGTTTGTTGTAGTTTTTGAAAAGTGATTTCTGTTAAATAAAATATCTCCGTATGAAGTGGACTTTGAAACTTTGCAGATCTTTTTTATGCTTAAACAGCAACATTACAGACTAACTAAAGTTGAAAAAATTAAAAAGCATAATAGGACCCCTTTAAAATGCCTCTGACAAGAGGGAGGGAAAGACAAAATGAAGATCACAATGTGGCACTGCTCTTCTTTTCCTTCTGTGATAAGTGTATTAGACCACCCAGAGAGAGTGAGAGAGAAATGGACAAGAGGAGAGACTTCACAGCCTGTTAATTAGGGAAAGAGAGCTCTTTTATGGTGCGATGCACACAACTTCACACAACTGCAGAAACACACTTTAGATACACACAGAGCTACTGTAATTTGCCATGTGACACTATTGTAAATTGCTTTAGATATAAAGGCTTATTGTGTGAATAAAGTTATGCTTCATACTATAAAGCAATTTTTTAAAAGCTTTTGTGGTCTCACACTACTTTGTGAACAGAGAGATTTCAACTCACAACCTTGACAGAGAGTGAGATTTGATGGCCTTCAATCTCACTAGGTGCCATTTGATTCTCACAATTGATGGGCATGTAGAAATGTGATATTTAGTCACAAAATCACTTGTAAAAGTTCATATTTACCACTGTATAGATCTGTGGCTTCCGTCTTTTTGCCATGTCTATAACACTGACGCCATTGTAGTTGAGGTTTTCTATGCAGCCGTGGAAATTTTCATGGAGAAACGTCCCAGGCTTACCAGGCAAAGGGATTCCTCCGAAACTGAGCTTGAATAAGGACACAGAAACACAAAAACACACGCACACACACACACACACACACACACACACACACACACACACACACAAAACAACCACATATCCCAGAGATCAGTAACAAAGTATAGAAAAAAGAATAGCAAAGAATGGCTCTGAAGGCTAATTTGTGGGGCCTGTTTTATCCAGCTTTTATCCAGTTGATTGCTGTATTTTCAGAGAATATACAGTGGGTACGGAAAGTATTCAGATCCCTTAGCAAATGGCTGCAATATAACAAAGAGTGAAAAATGTAAGGGGGTCTGAATACTTTCCGTACCCACGGTATCTAGTTGGGCTTTGATAGTGGTGTAGGTGCACTTTGGCTTGTTATTTTGAGTGCTGCAACCTGATAGTAATGGCACAAAGTATCAAACAGGCACTCACAATCTCCATAAGAAAATTATATACTCTGCTGCCCTTGTCAAGATCGGAAGCTCTTTAAAAAAACAAAGAAAAAAAAAATAGAGAGCGAGGGAAGTGGTAAATATTTCAGCTGCTTGTAACGAGGTTAATCTATTATAAATGGTATCAATTTTCATTCAGTATTGAACCCATTAATCATTAAAGCTCGAATGAGTAAAACAAAAAAACATGGGATGTGTGCTCTCATGTTTGAAATACTCACTTATATACACACACAAAAATGGAGGGATAGAAGATAGGATGAAGGTTAAAGAAATGAAGAGCTAAAGCTGAAAAGGACAGAAAAATGGGTAACCAATAATAAATGAGGAAGAAAATGAGAAGAAAAAAAAACACTTGAGTCCTTAGGCTGATAGCAATCCGAGCATCTGCACTACTCAAAAATAGTATTTTCTTAAAGAAATAATGCTGCTTTAAATTAATCAAAAGTGACAGTATGCATACTGTATAATGCTACAAAATTAAATTTTCTATTTCAAATGAATGCTGTTCCATTCAACTTTCTACAAATCAAAAAACCTTAAAAAGATGCATTATGGTTTCCACAAAAATATTAATTAGCACAACTGTTTCCAGCATTGATAATAATATGAAATGTTTCTAAAGCAGTGAATCAGCGTGTTGGAATGATTTTTGAAGGATCATGTGATACTGAAGGCTGGAGTAATGATGCTAAAAATTCAGCTTTCCCATCACTGGAATAAATTACTTTTTAACATATTAAAACAGAACGAAACGGTCATTATAAATTGTAAGAACATTTCTCAATATTACTGTATTTTTAAGCATAAGAGACTTTTTTTCAAAAACATAAGAAATCTTAACAAACCCAACTTTTGAAAGGTAGTGCATTTCAAAGGGTCTGCGTGTGTTTGTTTGGTTGTGCTGAAATTCCAGGAATCACTGACTTTGTTCTCTATTGTTTCAGGCTTTTATAAGTTTGCAGTGACAGTAATTGAATACAATATTTTGCAACATGGTTTCAGATAACAAGAGAACAGGATATCTTTATTCATGTAACAGTAAGAGATCTTATTCTTTTCTTCTTATTGTCTTGTTCTTTTATGACGAAGTTATTTTTAAATATTTAGCTATGTCAGTGTCTGTTGTGTATTAGGGATAGCCTGTCATCATATTTTCAGTATTGTATAAATAAATAACAAATTAAAGTATCTAAATAATTAATTATATTCAGATTTATTATAATTTACACTCAGCTCTCACTTCATAGTCTATCTCCAGTGTGTCCTCCTGTCCTGGACTGCGGAAGTGTTGCGTGTGTCCATCCACAGTAAAGTTGACGTGTTTGTTAAAGCGCTCAATTTGAACAGAGTGCCAGTGGTGGTCATCCAGCAGACTTCCTAACATGACAGAAGATGAGCGTCCAGCAGACTGAGGCTTGGCATCATCTGTAGAGGGACAACAAAAGACAGAATAGGAACCTAGACTTAGGAACTTGAAGTGTTAGTTCACCCAAAAATGAATTTTCTGTCATGAATTACTCACCCTCATGTCGTTCCAAACCCATAAGACCTTCGTTCATCTTCTGAACACAAATTAAAATATTTTTGATGAAATCCGAGAGCTTTCTGACCCTCCATAGACAGCAACGCAGCTACCACATTCAAGGCCCAGAAAGGTAGTAAGGATATTGTTAAAATAGTCCATGTGACATCAGTCAACCGTAATTTTATGAAGCTACGAGAACACTTTTTGTGCGCAAAGAAAAACAAAAAACAATGACTTAATTCAACAATTTCTTCTCTTCCATGTCAGTCTTCTACGTGCGTTCACGAGAGTACCACGACACATGCATGTGATGTTGCTGATGCAGGAGCCGGCGTTCTGACGTAGAACTTGGATGCACTGCACCTTGTTTACAAGCAGATGAAGATGCATGCTGTACATAAAACAGTCTTCGTAAACATGTCTGGAGATTTTGAAAGAAAGGATGACTTGCAATTTTTTGCCCAGCCTTACATATTTGAACCAGAATACACAGACAAGGAAATAAGTTAGATGGCTGTCCAACAGAAAGTTCTCAGATTTCATCAGAAATATCTTAAATTGAGTTGCGAAGATGAATGAAGATATAATGGGTTTGGTAATTAATGTAAGTAATTAATGACATAATTTTCATTTTTGGGTGAACTAACCCTTTAAAAGCAAATAATTCAGCCAGGCATCTAAACTCACTACGTCTCAGGTACTTTTCTTTACTCTCTAATTTCACTTTCTGATCCATTGAGACACTTGTGCATGAGTGTGAATAAAATAATAGAAGGTCAATCTGAATTGTGTACCGCCCTTCTCTTTCTCTCACCCAAATTGAGATGCAAAATGAGTCTTCCTCTCTGAAGCTCCAGATTGAGAAAATCTCCTCTCTGTCCCTCTCCATGAACCAGAACCCCTTCTGCCTGATGGCTCCGGAATCTCAGGGAAATCACGTCTTTCACTGTGCTGGTGGACTTCTGGTTGAACCGGTAGAGTAAGGCACTGCGACCGTCGAAGTCAGCCACATCGGACTCTGAGGAGGACAGCAAAAGGAGATCAAAGAGAATGTGAGAAGACCCTACGCTCTCTGCACTTTTTGTGACCTTCCAAGATCTGTGTGCTCTGACACTTCCTGTTGATTTGAAAATGAAGCTGCGCTGAATGCCTGAATACAGCTCACTTCTTCAGATCTTAAATATGGTATAAAATATACTAATAGAAACTGATGGACAATGAAATGGCATTTTTGATATGCTTATTCTGGTGTGTGTGCACCAGGTTTTACCTGCATTGTGGAAAGGATAGTAAATTACTTTTATTAAAAAAAAACACTTAATAGGGAAAGGGCTAAATACAGTTTTATGTGATGGTGAGGTTTAGGGGTATGGGATAGAAAAAAATATAATTAACTCTCATCTCAGCTCATGTAAGGTATCACTCACTGTATGTGCAGCCATAAGCTTCTAGCCGTAGACCCATTCCTCCTTTGGGGCTTCCCTCAAGGGGCAGAAGACGCATATATCGAGTTCTGATTGAGTGAGGGAGTTTGTGTTGGACCACTGTGTCTGTGTCACTGTTTCCTATAAATGTCTGTAAATATACACACAGACACACAAAACACACATACACATTGATATTGGTCAGGCAGTTTATAATAGTTTAAGTTTGGGGATACATTTGACCTACTTTAGCTACCATTACTACAGTCTTCAGCATCACATGGTCCTTCAGAAATGATTCTAATATGCTGATGTGCTGCTCAAGCAACATTTATTATAATTATTATCAATGTCAAAAACAGTTGCACTGCTTCATATTTTTGTGAAAACAGTGATACATTTTGTTTTCAGGATTCTTTGATGAATAGAAAGTTTAAAAGAAACATTTATTTAAAATAGAAATTGTTCGTAACATTATAAATTTATTTTACTGTCACTTTTGATCAATTTAATGCATTCTTGATTAATAAAATTATTAATTTACTTCTGCATAAAAGACTAGATTTCCATTATATTCCATCCAAACAAAGCTGTTCATCAAAATGCTGGTCAAACAGCAGAGTAAAACAAATGGGTGTTTTCAACAGTAGTTCAGCGACAGTTTATTAAAGGCTCTTCAACAAAACAGCTGCCATGCTAACCAGGCCCTGCAGACACCATTTAGCAAACAATGCTTTCAATGATGCAAACATCATATTAGCACAAATTATCCACTCTGAGTTTGGTTCTTTGCTCCCCAGCGATGATGAAATTGAGACTAAATTATTTTCTGACCTTCTCAGTCTTTCATCTGTGTGCTGATTCATCTCTGCTGGGCTGTTTTGTTTTGTCATTTTTATTAAAGGATCCTTGAAAATAAATCACTCCCCGAGCTTGTAAGGGGGAAGTTGCCAAATTATTTTTGGAAGATGGCGGCCAGTCTGTTTGTCTTTCACCGAGCTAACGCATGCTGACAGAATACAAACCAGAATAAACTCATTTCCTTCATCTTGTCTGCATCATTAAACTTAATGAAAGATCAAGACTCTCACAGACTATGAGGATGAATAAACCTCTGACTAACTGCTGACAAGCTTCCAGCATGACTGAGGTGCGGTGTAAATGAACACAACATGAACTGGCCTATCAATGGTCTACTTTTAATTATTAAAATAAAAGTAATACCACAATTCTGCCAGAAAGGTGAAGGGAGTCAGCATAGCTGATCATCAAATGTTAATAATTAGAATTATGTTTTTTTTTCGTTAAACCTTGCAGCAAATTTCTAGCCTTGGTTTTTCTTCAAAGGAAAAGCTTTAAAATTTAACCTTTTCAGAAACTATCAGCAATCTCTGGAAAAAGCCATAGTCACTTTAATATAATTTTGGATGCTAGAAGATCATGTCTGAATGACCCACATATTGGTTTAATATGGATAGCCAATTTTGACATACCTTCAGATATTTCCTCAACAACTTCCATAGAATCAACTCTTTTGTGCTCAGAAATTTACTTTGGAGACAAACCATGAAAAAACAGTGCAACACAAAAATTCTATCCATAATTCAACAATGCTCTATGTATGTTTTATTCAGAGAAGAAAGGAATAATACAATGCTTTTTGAACTTCCCCCAACATCCCAGTGGGCAACGACAGGAAAACTTCATTTACAAGTGATTCACCTTCTCAACTCAAGGATGTTTAATCCTCATACTGAACAATAAGCTTAGTTTTATGTTCATTTAGCATAGGTAAAGTGGGAGGAAGAAAGAAAGAGACGAAGTCAGGCACAACAGCTTCTCAAAGATGTTCATTAGTAAGATACACAAAGCAGAGAGGACTAAGCAACACACTGTAAATATCACTTATTGAAACTTAAATTAAATTATTAAGCTTTGAATAAAGCTATTAAAAAAGAAGATGGTATTTTGTTTAACATGCAAACAAAGTGAAGTTCCTTTATATAAAATAAGTTTAACTTTAAATGAATCAAGCCTTGTGTGTTATAGGAAGTACAAAAGAAAACTCAAACAAACCCTTTCATTTTGTATTAAATGAGCTGTTCTGCAAATTGTTCTCAATCTATAATAAAGCTTGAAAAGTGCAAAATATAGGCAAGCTACACAACCCAGGTCTTCTGCATATCAGTATCTCCCAGAGTGTTTTATATTCACCTTAAAATGCAAGGTATGCAAAGAATCTATCAACCTAAGAATCTCCAAGTTAAGCTTAAAAATGCAATGCAATTTAAAAAAAACATGTACTTTTATATGGATTCTAACGGAATTGTTGTCTAGCAACTTCCTTGTTCTTTATTTGGCCAATGTGGTGCTATTTGAATGCTCTGAACTAAAGTGGGGGGAAGCTAATCAATATAGTATAACACGAATATGCTCTTTCATCCCAATACAGAGTCAATACACAGACGGCAGGCATCGATTTTTAAATTATAATCATTATTAATTTGCATTTTAAAGGTACAGCTGACATTTTGTGTCATTTCTAAAGTTCAAGAAGGAGGTCAATTAACTTTGAGCTATCGACCCTTGTTTGAAAGCAGAGGTATGAAAGTTGGGAAGACGGTGCATTTTCGAGCTATAAATTCCCATCTGGCTTATTATGTGTTTATATTGTTTTTGTGCATGATCCTGGTCAAGTCATACTTCTTCATTTAGCGTCTGAATACTCCAAAAAAAATAAAAATAAAAGAAACATGTTGCAGCCAAAGCCCTTTCGGCTAAAAGATTCTTCACAATAGTAAGATGATTTTATTAAGCCTTTAGCGGCTTTAGCTCAACATAATCAATATTTTCAATGGTCACCTCCAGCTCTGTGGAAATACAAAGACATGTTGGACCACACCTAAAACAACTTTGGAGCCAGACAGAGACAGATCAGCATACCTGAAAGGCCAGGAGAAAATATCTATAAACACGTTTCTGAACTGATTGACCTTTTTAGAGTGGTTTAATAGAATCTGTCACAACGTGATGAATCCTCCTTGCCACATTAGCTGCTGTTAGCGGCTTATGCTGAAGCTCCTCCCAGTCATTGCCACCGATTTTAAATGGACACCAAAATCTTATTATGTGGGATAAAAAGTGGGCGGTTTGCAGAGCAAAGGCATCAAAACGCTTAATGAAAAAGAAACATTATGAAAAGCCTTGGCGATCAGTGTTAAAGCACAAAACACAACACAGCTGCTCTGACCTGTTCATGCTCCTGCAGATTAAATTTGCAATCCAACCTCAAATGCTTGTTTTAATTGTGAGAAAAAAAAAATTAGTTCACAATTAGAAAAAAATCAATAATTACATTCATTGCCATTTTAATACCACCACAGATTCTACTTGCATTATAGATTTAGAGAGCGCAGACACTTGATGACAATTAAAACACTGCACTCATATTTATTCGCTGAGAAAACTCAGAAGCTCATCCTGGATGTCAAGTATTACTTTACATGAAACTGACAGACAATCTTTATGGTACAAGATAAGGGACTTTCATATTTGCCACAGCATTTTGCAATAGTATTTTTTTTGTGAAACGGTGTAGGTTAATCTTCTTTACCAATCCAAGCACAGAGGGACAGATAAGAGAGTTCTGAAATGAAATATATTGATTTTGTGTGAATGCGTACACATGTGTGGGTTTGTGCAAGTCTGGGGCTTTACACCTGGTGGATCACGTGAACATAACCCAGCGGTGGAGAGGAGCAGAGGAAATCGATTTCAGAGATGTCGCAATAAGCCCAAACTAAAGAAAAGACAACTAGAGTTAATGGGAGGCACTACAGTAATCCAAACAATAGCTCTGCAGAGTGCCTTCCATCCATCTTGACAGCTGGATCTGCTAACATCTGAAACCACCAACTCCAAAACCTGACATTAAAACTCATGTGTTAAATTATAGAGATCATTGGAGTTTTAGCAATTCTCAGTTGTAATTTTCTATTCATTTGACATTCAAAATTACAGGTTTTGCATTCTATTCAAAATGACAACAAGGTGACCTCTGTATTCCTCTTGGGGGAGTGGGGGGGGGGGATCTTTTTCATTTCATGTATTTCTAAATAATGCACAACACCAAGGAGCAGGAGCCACATCAACTGGTCGTAAATCAACACACAGTCATTCAGCAGGAAATAAATAGTGCCTTTTATGCCTCCCTGCTTTAACTTTCTCCACTATGTTTTATGATTAGCCTGTAATTTAGTCCAAATAACACCAATATAAACCATTAAGACTACAGTTAAAATCCTTTCTGGTGGAACCTTTTTCTGGTGTAATGAAATCAGTTAAAAATAAGGTTTGAGGTGCAAGACATAACATAAAAACCTGTGAGATCCTGGTTAGTTTGTCTGTCAGTGTGTGTGAACCAAAACTTGTGTGTAGTGGCTGACGAATGCATAATACACTTGCTGTATTTAACTAATCTAAGGGGGTCTGAATACTTTCCGTACCCACTGTATATATATACTGTATAAGTAATACTGCAAAATTAGTTAATAATAATAATTATTATTATTTGACAAAATAATGTAATTAGTCAAACGAAGATGTTTCCATTTTATTTGTAATAAATGTATGCATATATTCATTATAGTTTTCTAATAAACAATTCCAAATGAATTAATTAATGAATAAACACAACACATTTTTGATAGTTTCACTAACCACTTTTTTCCCCAAAAATTAATTTGAGTGAATGTAAGCTTGAGCTTGTAGCTCCAAGCAATGTTTCGAAGAAGCTAGACACCTTGCTTGCTGATTTGTTCTTTTCTGGAGAGTCTGCTTAAACATCTACCTGTATACCTCCATCAGCGGGCAATCCAATGCTCACATTGTACTGCTATCCCTTATTGAACAGCCAATCCATTTTAAACATTCCATCTCTGTACCTCACAGAGAAGCGGATTCAAACTAAACATTTAATTTAGTGGAAATTCTCCCACCAGTAATCTCTCACAGAGCAGCACTGTTTAAAGGAACATTGATGGGAAATATAAAGCAATTCAAATCTATACACAAAAATCAAACATGTTTCTTGTTTTCATACAGGAAAACACAACTGCAAGTTCTTGCTACATCTAGAGATCTACCTACATT